AATCAAAAATAGTCAAACATGATCGACCCACGAATCCGGAAAGGAATACAGACATGTGAGGCATGGCAACGTTTTCAAGACACCCGATTGGACGACGGGCAATTGCAATACTGAATGTATCGATGTTGATGTACCGTGCCAAGGGCTGTGCTGTGCTGCGCGGTGCTGACTTGCGACATGCCATGCCGCGATTGCTGTATAGCGTTGTGGATCGAGTCTTCCTTTGCATCCGAGTCTAAACCGAACTGATCTGGATCTTAAGCTCGAGCTGCCTGCGCACATAGTAGCTGCCCCAGAGCGAGTTGAAGTGGAAACGTGCTGGACGTTCAATCAACTCGACCTCAAAAACCGACTCATCTCCGAAAAGGAACGACACGACGCGGGGCACAGGTTCACGCACGCGCCACAGGATGTTCCAGGGGCGCAACAGGGGATGCGCAAGGGGGCGTGTCAGGGGACGTATCAGGGAACGTGCCCTGAACGTGTCAGGGACCTGCCACGGGTCGTTCCAAGGCGCGTGCCATGGGGCGGCCAAAGGACGTCATGCCAAGGCACGTTGCAAGAGGCGCGCCACGGAACGGGCAGGGGAAACGCCTGGGGACGAGCCAAGAAACGTGACAGAAGACCAGCCAGGAAACATGCCACGCCGAGTGACGTGCTGGGGGACGTGCCAGGGCACGTCACGCCAGAACGTCGCAAGGGACGCGCCAGGGGACGCGCCAGCGCGCCAGGGGACTCCCCATGGACGGGCGAGCGTTTCGCTCGAGACATCCTCAACAAATCCTCATGTTAGACATCCGCCTGGACGACCTGGACGCGTGAAAACAAGCGTTTCGGTCGAGACATCCTCAACACATCCTCATGCTGGACATCCGCCCAGGCGACCTGGACACGTGAAACCAAGCGTCTCGCTCGGAACATCCTCAACACATCCTCATGCTAGACATCCGCCTGGGCGACCCGGACACGTGAAAACAAGCGTCTCTCTTCAGACCATCTCAGCACCTCCTCATGCTAGACATCCGCCCGGGCGACCTGGACACGTGAAACCAAGCGTCTCGCTCGAGACATCGTCAACACATCCTCATGCTACACATCTGCCTGTGAGACCTGGACCGTTGAAAACAAGCGACTCGCCAGAGACATCCGCGACAAATCCTCATGCTAGACATCTGCTTGGGCAACCTGAGCGCGTGAAACCAAGCGTCTCGGTCGAGACAGCCTCAAGACCTGGGCACGTGAAAACAAGGATTTCACCTGAGACTTCCTCTGAGTTCTAGTCCCCAGGAGAGGAACAACCTACAACACAAAACAAGCGTTTCGCTGGAGACATCCTCAATAAGGTCTTCAAAACAAGCGGGCGAAAATGCTTACTTTTACCATGTGTTTGATCGATCGGACTTTCAAAAACCAGCGTTTCGCTCGGGACATCCTCAGAAGTCATTCCGCCGGCCTTCCCCGACCTCGCTAATCCCACCAGCCCTTTGGGCGTGAGTGGTTTAGGGAGCTCTCTCTGTCCTGAACCCCCCATCTTCCCCTTCGGGGAGGGGTTTACCCCTCCCCCTACCCCCTCCCCCTGGGCCTGGAGAGGGAGGGCCGAGCGTCGCCAGGGGGGTCTTTTTCGACTCCTAGGAGGGTCAAAAAACGACGACCCTCACGAGGATTGTGGCCCCGACGGGGGGGCCGAGTTTGGCCCCTCTCCTCTTATTTGAAACCAAAATCATTGATTTTACTACGGTTTTGGCCCCATGTTGGCCTCCTGAGGGGGCCGCGCTCATCTTCCTTCATAGCAAAATCATTGCTTTTACGAAGGTTTTGGGCTCATTTTGTCCTTCTCAGGGGGCAGCGCTCCTTTGCGCTTCAGAGGAGGTCGCAAGAGGCCCCAAGATGGCCCCAAGAGGCCCCCAGGAGCCTCCCAAGAAGCCTCCCAGAGGTCCCCAAGAGGCCCCCAAGAGGCCCCAAGAGGTCCCCAAGAGGTCCCCAAGAGGCCCCCAAGAAGCCCCAAGAGGCCCCAAGAGGCCCCCAAGAGGTCCCCAAGAGGCCCCCAAGAGGCCCTCAAGAGGCCCCCAAGAGGCCCCAAGAGGCTCTAAGAGGCCCTTAAGAGGCCCCACGAGGAGCCCGAACGACTCACACCAGGACGAGGGGCCCGAACGACTCACACCACGCAGAGCCCGAACGACTCACACCACAAGGAGGGGCCCGAACGACTCACACCAGGACGAGGCGCCCGAACGACTCACACCACGAGGAGCCCGAACGACTCACACCACGACGCGGGCCCCGAACGACTCACACCACGAGGAGTCCGAACGAGTCACACCAGGAGGAGGGGCCCGAACGACTCACACCAGGATGAGGGGCCCGAACAACTCACACCACGAGAAGCCCGAACGACTCACACCAGGACGAAGACCCCCTCTACGACTGCGAATGTTACTACGACTACTACGACTACTACTACTGATACTACGCCTACCACTATTTCTACTACTACTACTACTACCACTACTATTACTACTACTACTACTACTACTACTACTACTACTACTACTACTACTACTACTACTACTACTACTACTACTACTACTACTACTATTACTACTGGAACAGTAAGAATACTACTACTACTACAACAACACCAACAACAACAACAAGAACAACTACTACTACTACTACTACTACTACTACTACTACTACTGCGACTACTACTACCACTACTACTACTACTACTACTCCTACTACTACTACTACTACTACTACTACTACTACTACTACTCTACTACTACTACGACTACGACTACGACGGGACGACGACGACGACACGACGACGACGACGACGACGACGACGACGACGACGACGACGACGACTACTACTACTCACGCTACTACTACTACTACTACTCCTACTACAACTGCTACTACTACTACTACTACTACTACTACTACTGCTACTACTACTGCTACCACCACTATTGCTACGACTACGAACTACTATTACTACAACTACGACTACTACGCCTACTACTATTACAACTACTATTACTACGCCTACGACTACGACAACGACGACGACGACGACGACGACGACGAGCTACTAATACTACTACCACGACTACTACTACGACTACTACTACTACTACTACTACTACTACTACTACTACTACTACTACTACTACTACTACTACTACTACTACTACTACTACTACTACTACTACTACTACTACTACTACTACTACTACTACTACTACTACTACTACTACTACTACTACTACTACTACTACTACTACTACTACTACTACTACTACTACTACTACTACTACTACTACTACGTACTACTACTACTACTCTACTACTACTACTACTACTACTACGCTACTACTACTACTACTACTACTACTACTACTACTACTACTACTACTACTACTACTACTACTACTACTACTACTACTACTACTACTACTACTACTACTACTACTACTACTACTACTACTACTACTACTACTACTACTACTACTACTACTACTACTACTACTACTACTACTACTACTACTACTACTACTACTACTACTACTACTACTAGGGTCAAACTTCACCTTCGTGTCTACTAAGAATGAATGGGTAAGGGTAAGGGTTCGGTTTCGGGTTCGGGTTCTACACAGTCAGTTAAAACCAAATGGAATAACACAGAATAATCGGAATCCCACCAGCCCTTTGGGCGTGAGTGGTTTAGCGAGCTCTCTCTGTTCTCAACCCCCTATCTTCCCCTTCGGGGAGGGGTTTACCCCTCCCCCTACCCCCTCCCCCTGGACCTGGACAGGGAGCCCCGGGTGGTGGCAGGGGGGTCTTTTTCGACTCCTGGGAGGGCCAACAAACGACGACCCTCACGAGGATTCTGGCCCCGACAGGGGGAGGCAGTTTGGCCCCTCTGCTCGTCTTTGAAGCAGAAATCATTGATGTTACTAAGGTTTTGGCCCCATTTTGGCGTCCTGAGGGGGCCGCGCTCATCTTCCCTCATAGCAAAACCATTCATTTTACCAAGGTTTTGGGTTCAATTTCTTTTTCTCAAGGGGCAGCGCTCTTTTGCGCTTCTGAGGAGGTCGCAAGAGGCCCCAAGATGGCCCCAAGAGGCCCCCAGGAGGCTCCCAAGAGGCCTCCAAGAGGCCCCCAAGAGGCCCCCAAGAGGCCCCAAGAGGCCCCCAAAAGGCCCCCAAGAGGCCCCCAAGAGGCCCCAAGAGGCCCCAAGAGGCCCCCAAGAGGCCCCCAAGAAGCATTTTTTTTCTCCCCCAAGCCCCCAGCGGATCCCGCCACGGGGCTCGTCCGCCGCAGACTGCGGCCAGCCTCAGGCCTGATTGGCCTGGCCCAGCCGGTTGCCCTCCAGCTCGGACCTCACGTTCACCATGCTCACATAGTTGAACGTCCCCCTCTGCAGCTTCTGGAGCTGCTCCTCAAGCCCCTCGCCGAGCTGGCAGGACGGCGCCCTGCTCCATCGGCTTGCCGTTCTGCGGGTTCTTACCCGCCAGAATCCTGTCCCGCTTCTTCCTCTTCGCGTCATCCTTGGTGGACCGCCCACGGGGCGCCAGCGGGCCTGGGCAGGCAGCCCCCAGACCCGCCCGACGCCTTGCCGAGTGAGCACCGCACACCACGCACACCACGTACGGGCCATGAGCTTCAACACGATGCGGCCTGCCCTGCTCCTCAGGCACAGCACGTTCTTCGTGTTGTTCTCCAGGCCGTGCTGCTGCTGGTGCTGCTGCGGCTGCGGCCTCCGCTGCGATGGCCACGCTGGCCTCCAGCGAGCTGCCTGTTCCCGCACTGCGCGTGCCTGTTGCCTGTCAGAGTGGTCGTGCGCATTCCGCTTGCCACATCTTCAGGCGCATCCGCTTGGACGCCGCACGATAGCCACACCTCGTGCACACCTGCCAACCTCCCGTCTCCACGACGTCGTGCTCGGTCAGGGTCAGCATCGGCTTCGGCACTCTTCGCCTCGGCACACCTTACTCTTTGGGCGGCACGTCTGGCCACGTACCGCCCATCTTCTGGTACCGCCAACCAATGTTCTGCAGCGCCCAACGTGCTCGCCCTGCAAGGTCCTCCAGCGCTTGGTGCTTGCCGCAGTGTGCGTCCATCTCCGCGCCCACCTTTGCCAGCAGGTCCACCTCGCTGTTGCCCTTCGCAATCTTCAGGTCCTCACCCTCGAGCTGCCCGATCCTGCTCTTGGACCTGTGGGCCTTCACGTGCTTCACGCAATGAATGTCAAGGTCCAGGTCCTTCACCTTATGCCAGATCCTTCGCCACAGGTCTGCGTGTGGGCGCTTCCAGCTCGTGCACCACCGCTCTCCTCTCTGCAAGCCCTCCACTATGCCTTTGTGGTCCGTGTAGACTTGTCCTGGCGGCAACATTCGCTCCAGCACCTTGAGGAAGGCCCACATCCCGGCTCTCTTAACCCTCCTGTGGATCGGTAGCGAGCACGGCAGCGGACCCCACATCTGCATCTTCGCGGTGCCGTTGTCGTTGAGGGACATCGCTGCCCAGCCCGTATGCGCCCAGTCGCTGTATCCGAGCTTCGAGCCGTCGCAGACGATGTCGCCTGTGAAGTAGTCCTCCTTACCGTCGACCACTTGTCCGTAGCACTGGTCCTCCTCGATTCCCACGAACTTCCAGTCCGCCTCTGGCGACCTCACCAGCCCGCGCGTCCACAGCATGTTGGTGTCCTGCTGCTCCGCCGCGCGCTGCCAGTCCGCCTGCGCCTGCAACCCCTGGCCCCTGAGCGCGTGGCACTTGTAGTACCGATGATGCTCGGTGCCCACCGCCTCTCCACAGGCCAAGCAAATGTCCGTGGGCACGATGTTGCACCTGCACAGCTTCTCCATAGTCCACGCACCTCCGACGAAGACCTTCTTCGCCGCATTCCTCGCGTGCTTCGGGAAATCACGTGCACGTAGCTGCGCGACTGCTGGCGCCAACAACGGCATTGGGCTCAGGCTCTTGAACTCCTCCGCCTGCGTCCATTCCTCCCAGAGGGTTGCCTGCGCGTCCTTGCGCACCATCGCCGCGATGTCCATGGGGCACACCTCCTGCATGTTCAACACGAAACCCTCTTTTGAGACGAAAGTGTGCCACGCAGGCCATGTCCACGTAGCCCTCCTTATTGACATGATGACTGCCCCTGCTGGACCTCGCACTCGGGCCCAGGCAGGCTTCATGCCGACCTCCTGCTGCTGCCGCCTCCATGCCTGCTGCAACATGGTGGCTATGTTGCCCCATTGACCTCCTCCATCCTCGTCGTGTGCGCCATGCCATACTGCCCGCGCCCGCCTCACTATGGGCGCCTCTGCGACCTCGTATGTAGGCTCCCCCTGCGCCACTGCCAGCTGCAAGGTGAGGCTGCGGGCTCCTCGACCCCCTGGTAGTAATCGCCCTGCCTCTCGCCGTAGCTGTCGGAGCTGGTGGTCTGGCATGCCCAAGCACTTGCATCCATACATAACCGAGCGCTTCAGGCCACACTTGTACACCAAGCCAACACCCCTGGTCATTTTTCGCCCGCCCTTTAGAGCGAGCAGCCTACGACTCCTGACCTTCATGACAGCGTGCCTTTTGCCGCTCTTGGTCTTCACCGCCGTGCCGTGCGTGACGACGTCGACCCCCAAGTATGGGCATGCCTTCACCACTGGCAAACCTCGCTCCTGCATCGGCCCTGTCACGGCCCTTCGCGCCCACTTGGTGCTCGCCATCACTGCACCTTTGCCCTTGCTGCCCACGGAGAACTTCAGGCCTAGCCCTTCGAATCCTCGGAAGCAGCTGTCAACCGTCTCTCCGAACTCCGTGACTATGTGCCTATGCTGCTGTCGCAGCCGTACGCACAGGTCGCCCACGTGCATCCTCCAGCGCGCCCTCGGTCTTTCGACCGCCAGGCCGTCCACCGTGGACTGTATGGCCATCTTCAGGAAACATACTGAGAACTTGCTACCCGCGATGATGGTGGTGACCGTCTCTGTCTCACTGGACACTGAGTCCCCTACGATGAGGCGCCTGGTCATGGCGAAGTATGAGCACACCACAGCTAGCACCCCTGTGTTGAACTTGAGCTGCTTTCCCGCTTCCCACAATACGTGCAAGCTGACCTTCTCAAAAGCCTTTACCAAGTCCAGAACGGCCGTAACCGTCGCCTGCGTCTCCTCGCTCTGCTCCTCGGCATCGTCCATCTCGTGGCTGAGCAACACTTCCCAGGCCGCGTCCTCCGCAGCCTTACCGTAGCTCGTGCAATCCCAGCTCCGATAGTTCTTCTTGGCCCACTCGACCATGTACGGCTCTCGCATAATCCCCCACACTCTGATGGCGCGGTGGGCAGAAGCCCGATGACCCTGTCCGTGGTGTAGGTCTTCGGGATCATGAAGAATAGCACAGTGCCCATGTGGATGGGCCAGCGCAGCGTCCGCTCCACCTCCATGTAGAAGTCCAACAGCTTGACGTAGGCCTCGTCCGACGCACCCTGCAGCATAGAAGGGTGCCGCCTGTCGACTCTGACCCCCGTCTTTTTCCTGAAGGTGCGCGCTACCTCCTTAAGCTTGTCGACGTCCTGGTCTGTGAAGGGCTCGAGCTTGTCACGCTCTTCGCGCTCCCACGGCCGCTCCACCTTCTGGATCTGCTCGCCGACCCTCCAGACCACTTTCCACTCCTTGAGGGTGTACTCAGCTGCCTCGGTGGGATCCGCCGGGTCCTCCATGGAGCCTGCCCTACGCGGTCTCCATACTGCTGCAGCCTTGCCCAACTTGTGTAGACCACCCGCTGCTCTTGCTGCCGCCTCCTGCAACCTGTCTGCCCAGCGGGCTCGCCTCTCCTTGAGTAGCTTCTGGTCGTGCTCCTTCATCTTGTCCTGGCTCTCCTGCATCCATTGCTTCAACTTCGCTTCCTGCTGCGCTCCTCGGAGTTGCCCAGCAGCCAGCAGTCCGCACCTGGCCTGCCACCTCCCCTGCTCCTTTGCATTGAGGTGCTTGGTCCTCCGATGCGTGATGATGAACTGGTGCTCCTGCGCGATTGCCTCCTCCTGTCGGCGCCTCTGAATGTCGCCATGTCTCGCCGTCTTGAGCCTCGCGTAAGCCCCTTGCAAGCTCTGTAGCGTTCTCGCGAGCCACCTCCACCAAACTGCTTCCCTGGCGGCTGGCGGCGCGTTGGCACCACCGAAACTTAGCGGCTTGATCCTCCATGTCGGCTCCTCGGCCCGCCCTGCTGCAGGGTGGTCGGGTGCCCATTCGAGTCCTCGTGCTGCGAAGGCCTCCTGCCCCAACGTCTGCATGTACTGCCTCCACTCCTGGTTGGCCACCTCCTGCGACCTGAAGCACGCGATCTCTTGATACTGCGGCGGCGCTGGGGTGCATCCGATGCCCAGCTCTGGCAGCTTCTTTGGCTTCTCCAATATCCTGACCATTCGTTCCTGCGCCTTGAGCCTGAGTGTTAACCCCACTGGCTTGTGGGGCGCCGACGGCCACTCCTCCTGCACTCTGACATACATCACCTGGTTGACGAGGCTGTCCGCCACGATGAAGTAGTCGATCTCGCTCACGCCGTACGCAGCTGGCCCCTGACGCGACTACCCGCGCCTTGGCCATCTTGACGCTCTCCACCTCCGTCATCTTCTCAGGCGCCACTTGGAAATCGCACCCGATTATCCACGGCACGCCGAGCGCTTCCAACTGGCATATCATCTTGTTGATGATCTCCGCGTTCCTGAACGACATCCCCTCTGCCGTCCACAGGTAGACCGTCGCGTAGATGATACCCTTGCCGACCGATAGCCATGCCGCTGCAGCCCTCCCTGGGCTGTTCCGCGGTGACAAGTCCCACTTCTCCTTGCCGAACATGTACGTCATGCCGATGCACCTGGGCGCCACGCCCGCCACGCCCGCCGAGGTGCCTGCTTCTCCACCTGAACCTATCGTCGGGTTCGTTTCGACCCCGCCGAACTGGTGCCCCTTCGCCTTCATGCTCTGCGACACGACCGCGATCTTGTCGCCCGTGGGGCGATGCTCTTGCACTGCATAGCACTGCAGCAGGCCCCCTTCTGCGTTCTCGATCCTCTCTTTGAGGGTACCCCACCCCGAGCCGTTGAACGTCCACAGGGTGATGCTCTCGAACTTGTTCTGGCGATGCCTGCTAGGAGTGCTTTGCCCGCTTATTGTGCTCCGCAAGGCTGGCGCACACCTCGAGCCACCTCTTTCGCTGTGCTTCGCTGGCATCCTCAGGCACCCCCACCTGCGTGTAGCCACTCTTGTTCTGGCGACAGCTGAGGTCCCTGCTCGCGTCCTGCTTGTCCACTTCTGGCTGCGCCTGTGCCCCCGCTGCTACCACCAGCAGGAACATCACCAGCCTCTTCAGTGTCCATGCCGTCCTTGTCCTCCTTGGGCTCCTCCCTGACGTTGTCCAGCACCCTGGCGAGTGCTGCGAACACGTGCTCGTGCTCTTCTTTGCTGATGCCGCTTCCTTCGACGGCCCATTCGTACTGCTTCTGCATCGCCGTGAGGAAGCCTTTACCCTTGATGGAGACGTCCTGCACCTTGAGTTCCGACTCCTTGGCCTTTGCGACCTCGAGCTGCTCCCTTTTCTTGGCGAGCTTCTCCTGCGCATCCTGCATCGCCTTCTGATGCCGCTTGACCTCGCCATGGATGGCCGCCTCCTCCTTCTCGAGCTTCTCCCTGGCAGCCCGTGCCTTGGCCCAAGAGGCCCCCAAGAGGCCCCAAGAGGCTCCAAGAGGCCCCCAATAGGCCCCACGAGGAGCCCGAACGACTCACACCAGGACGAGGGGCCCGAACGACTCACACCACGAAGAGCCCGAACGACTCACACCACAAGGAGGGGCCCGAACGACTCACACCAGGACGAGGCGCCCGAACGACTCACACCACGAGGAGCCCGAACGACTCACACCACGACGCGGGCCCCGAACGACTCACACCACGAGGAGCCCGAACGAGTCACACCAGGAGGAGGGGCCCGAACGACTCACACCAGGATGAGGGGCCCGAACAACTCACACCACGAGAAGCCCGAACGACTCACACCAGGACGAAGAGCCCGAACGACTCACACCACGAAGAGCCCGAACGACTCACACCAGGAAGAAGGGCCCGAACGACTCACACCAGGACGAGAAACCCCAAACGACTCAAATCACGAGGAGCGCTTTCTCTCCCTCCTCCTCCGCCTCGTCCTTCTCCCGCTCCCCCCACAAGGAGGATGTACAAGGAGGCGGGAGGAAGGAGGAACAAGGGAGATATGCGGGGCCAAGCGGACACACGCCTGAAAAACACGACTGTCGGCATGCTTCGCAAGAGTTGCTGCTGTGAGATGGGCTGGTGGGGATACGCGAAGCGTAAAGAATTACCAGGGATAATTCCGCCGGCCCTTCCCCAACATGGCACCGGAGACAAAACCACTAACATGATCGACCCACGAACCCGGAAAGGAATATAGAAATGTAAGGCATGGCGACGTTTCAAAGACACCTGTTTTGGCGACGGGCGCACGCAATGCTGAGAGTGTCGATATTGATGTACCGTGCCGAAGGCTGTGCTGTGCAGCGCCGTGTTGAATTATGATGTGCCATGCCGCGATTGTGCTCTATAGCGTTGTGGATCGAGTCCTCCTTTGCATCCTAGTCCTGACCGAGCTGATCTGGATCTTAAGCTCGAGCTGCCTCAGCACATAGTCGCATAGAAGCTGCCCCAGAGCTAATTGACAACGGAACATGCCAGGAGGACGCGCCGCGGAACGTCCCAAGGGACGCGCCAGGCGACGTGCCAGGGGACGTGCCACGAGGACGCACCGCGGGACGTGCCGAGGGAACGCGCTACGGAACGTGCCCATGGACGTGCCACGGGACGTGCCAAGGGACGCGCCGCGCGACGTGCCAGGGGGACTCGCCACTGGACGCGCTACGGAACGTGCCAAGGAACGTGCCAGGTTGTAATGCTGAGTGTGTCGATATTGATGTATCGTGCCGAGGGCTGTGCTGTGCTGCACCGTGCTGAACTGCGATGTGCCATGCCACGATTGTGCTCTATAGCGTTGTGGATCGAGTCCTCCTTTGCATCAGAGTCCTGACCGAACTTATCTGGATCTTAAGCTCGAGGTGCCTCAGCACACAGTAGCTTCCCCAGAGCTAACTGACAGGGGAACATGCCAGGAGGACGCGCCGCGGAACGTCCCAAGGGACGCGCCAAGCGACGTGCCAAGGGACGTGCCAAGGGGACGCACTGCGGGACGTGCCGAGGGGACGCGTTACGGAACGTGCCAATGGACGTGCCACGGGACGTGCCAGAGGACGCGCCGCGGGACGCGCCACGGAACGTGCAATGCTGAGTGTATCGATCTTGATGTACCGTGCCGAGGGCTGTGCTGTGCTGCGCCGTGCTGAACTGCGATGTGCCATGCCGCGATTATGCTCTATAGCGTTGTGGATCGAGTCCTCTTTTGCATCCCAGTCCTGACCGAACTGATCTGGGTCTTGAGCTCGAGCTGCCTCAGCACATAGTAGCTGCCCAGAAGCTAATTGACAGGGGAACATGCCAGGAGGACGAGCCGCGGAACGTCCCAAGGGACGCGCCAGGCGACGTGCCAGGGGACGTGCCACGGGAACGCACCGCGGGACGTGCGGAGCGGACGCGTAACGGCACGTTAAAATACGTGGTCCTTGCTCGGGATAACCATGTTAGATATCCCCCTGGATGGCCTGGACACCTAAAAACACATGGTGCCAGCTCGGGAAATCATGTTAGATACACCCCTGAATAGCCTGGACACGTTAGATACCCCCTGGGTGGCCTGGACATGTAAAAACATATGGCTCCAGCTCGGGGCCACCATGTTAGATACCCCCGCGGGTGGCCTGCACATGTAAAAACATGTGGTCCAGCCCACCCAGGGGGGATATCTAACATGCGGTCGTCTGGAGCGCAGGAGGGCGCCTGCAAGCCAAAAAGTCAACGAATCGATACCAAATATAAATAAACTCTCGACGTTCCATTACAAGTCCCAGGAAGGATCCAGGAGTCCCATGTTAGATACCCCCTGAGAGGCCTGGACACGTGAAAACACATGTTTCCAGCTCGGGACCACCATGATAGATACCCCCTGGGTGGCCTGGACACATGAAAACACGTGGTTCCAGCTCGGGACCACCATGTTAGAGACCTCCTGGGTGGCTTGGACACATAAAAGCACGTGGCTCAAACTCAGGACCACCATGTTAGATACCCCCCGGGTGGCGTGGACACGTGAAAACAAACGGTTCCAGCGCCGGGCCACCATGTTAGATACACCCTCTGGGCGACCTGGGCACGTGAAAACACGTGGTTCCAGCGCGGGACCACCGTGTTAGATACCCACCTGTGTGGCCTGGACACGGGAAAACGTGGTATCAGCTCGGGACCACCATGTTAGATACCCACCTGGGTGCCCTGGACACGTGAAGCGACGTGGTTCCAGCTCGGGCAGAACATGTTAGATACCCCCCTGTGTGGCCAAAGAAACCCTGGAAAAACAACCGAATTAGTCGAGACATCCTCGAACTTCCTGCGCGCGGGACGCGGCACGCGCGAGACATCCTCGGAATTTGGATACCCCCATGGCCGACCTGGGCACGTGAAAACAAGCATTTCGCATGAGACATCCTCTGAATTCTGGCCCCCCACGAGGCCCCCGCTCGAGACATCCCCCAACTCTGCAAAACCAGCTATTCGCTTGAGACATCCTCAACAAATTCTGAAAAACAAGCGTTTCGCTCGAGACATCCTCAAACTTTAATCCGCCGGCCCACCTCGACCTCGATAATTATCAAGAAGAATCCGCACCTCAGTCATGGCACGGGGGTCAGCTTACAAACTAAAAGAAAACTCTGGGCCCGCGCCCTTTCCGGGAACAAACATGATCGACCCACGAACCCGGAAAGGAATATAGAAATGTAAGGCATGGCAATGTTTCAAAGACACTTGATTGGGCGACGGGCAAATGCAATGCTGAATGTATCGATCTTGATGTACTGTGCCGAGGGCTGTGCTGTGCTACGCCGTGCTGAACTGCGATGTTCCATGCCGCGATTGTGCTCTATAGCGTTGTGGATCGAGTCCTCCTTTGCATCAGAGTCCTGACCGAACTTATCTGGATCTTAAGCTCGAGCTGCCTCAGCACATAGTAGCTGCCCCAGAGCTAACTGACAGGGGAACATGCCAGGAGGACGCGCCGCGGAACGTCCCAAGGGACGGGCCAAGCGACGTGCCAAGGGACGTGCCATGGGCACGCACCGCGGGACGTGCCAAAGGACGCGCTACGGAACGTGCCAATGGACGTGCCACGGGACGTGCCAAAGGACGCGCCGCGCGACGTGCCAGGGGGACTCGCCAAGGAACGCGCCAAGGAACGTGCCAAGATGCAATGTTGAATGTATCGATCTTGATGTACGGTGCCGACGGCTGCGCTGTACTGGCCGTGCTGAACGACGATGTGCCATGCCGCGATTGTGCTCTATATAGCGTTGTGGATCGAGTCCTCCCTGGCACTGATCTGGATCTTAAGCTCGAGCTGCCTGAGCAGATGGTAGCTGCCCCAGAACTAATCGACAGGGGGACATGCCAGGAGGACGCGCCGCGGAACGTCCCAAGGGACGCGCCAGGCGACGTGCCAGGGGACGCGCCATGGGCACGCATCGCGGGACGTGCCAAGGGGACGCGCTACGGAACGTGCCAGTGGACGTTCGCCGCGCGACGTGCCAAGGGGCTCGCCACGGGGCGCTCCGCGGAACGTGCCAGGCAACATGCCAGGCTGCAATGCTAAGGGTATCGATATTGATGTACCGTGCCGAGGGCTGTGCTGTGCCTGGGCGACCTGGACACGTGAAAACACGCGTTTCGCTCAAGACGTTCTCAGCACATCCTCATGCTAGACATCCGCCTGGGCGACCTGGACACGTGCAAACAAGCGTCTCGATCGAGACTTCCTCGACACATCCTCATGCTAGACATCCGCCTGGACGACCTGGACACGTGAAAACAAGCGTCTCGCTCGAGACATCCTCAACACATCCTCATGCTAGACATCCGCCTGGGCAACCTGGACGCGTGAAACCAAGCGTCTCGCTCGAGATATCCTCAAGACCTGGGCACGTGAAAACAAGCGTTTCACTTGAGAGATCCTCTGAATTCAGGTCCCCAGGAGAGGACAATCTATAACATAAAACAAGCGTTTCGCTTGAGTCATCCTCAACAAATTCTGAAAAAACAAGCGTTTCGCTCGAGACATCCTCAAATGCTACTTCGCCGGCCCACCTCGACCTCGATATTTATCGCAAAAGAAATTCGCCGGCCTATTTCAAGTCAAACCGGGGGTAAACCCACTAAAAGAGAACCCTGGGCCTCAGCCCTTTCCGGGAAAAGAGAACCCTGGGCTCAAGCCCTTTCCGGGAAACAAGATCGACCCACGAATCCGGAAAGCCTGATCGGGCGACGGGTAAACTGCAATGCTGAATGTATCGATCTCGATGGACCGTGCCGAGGGCTGTGCTGTGCTGCGCCGTGCTGAATTGCGATATGCCATGCCGCGACTGTATAGCGTTGTGGATCGAGCCCTCCGTTGCATTCAGGTCCTGACCGAACTGATCTA